CCCTAAACCCTAAACCCCTAAACCCTAAACCTCTGAACCCCTAAACCCCAAACCCCTAAACCCTAAACCCCTAAACCCTAAACCCCTAAACCCTAAACCCCTAGACCCCGAAACCCCAAACCGCTAAACCCCTAGACCCTAAACCCTTAAACCCTAAACCCCTAAACCCCTAAACCCTAAACCCTAAGCCCCTGAACCCCTAAACCCCTAAACCCTAAACCCCTGAAGCCCTAATCTACGACCATTGGACCCCCAGCCCGGAGAGGACGCAGCGCAGCAGCACAAACTCACCATCAAGGCCTTTTGCTTACGGGGTTTAGGCTTTAGGGTTTAATTTTATCATCAATATTAGCATTATTTTTGTTATTATTGTTATTGTTATATTGTGATTAGTATTCCATTGTTATTACGATGATGGCTATTCTTATAATTACTATTATTGATGTTATTGTCATTATTAGTGTTCTTGAATAGTTGAAGATTGGGGCTTATAGTGCGTGGGACTTTGGGTGTTAGGGTTTTGGGGTGTAGGGTCGAAGGGCTTAGGGTTGCCCTAAACCCTAAACCATAAACCCGAAACCCTAAAGGCTTCAGGGTCTCAGGCTTTGCAGGGATTGTGGTTTAAGCTAATCACTCGGGGCATCGGAAGGATAGTCTGAAGTTTCAGGTTAAAGGGGGTGGGGGGTGGTGTTTGGATACGGGTTTAGGGTTGGGGTTCAGGTTTCAGGTTTAGGGTTTAGGGTTTGGGGTTGAGGGCTTGTCCTGTCGTCCACGGATTGCTCATATACGCTTTTCAGGGTTCGTTCCAAATTAAATCTTCCAGATTCCTGTGAAACGCCTTGGCAATTCGCAGCCTCTTGGCCCCGCCCCCCCCGCCCATACATGTCTGTTAGCGTTTTTCAGCGCAGGTTTCACTACTCGCAAGTGCCACTTTTGTTGTGCTCGTGTGAACACGTGTCCAAGGCTGGGTGGGAACCTCATCCCGCAACAGCAGTTCAGAGAGTGATGCGTACATAAAGCTGCTTGTCGTTCCGGCACCTGGAGTGCAGCCCCCTTTTTCGTCAAAAGTTTTGCTAAATCGGTATAAGTGTCAGGCATGCTCAGTGCAAGTACGTGCGAAGAATGGCAAGGCGCTATGTCAAAGTATGATTTTCTTTCTGAACAGTACTCTATTAGCCTTCCTGTCCTTAACCCTCCGTGAACCCTAAACTCAATCCCAAAACTCTAAACCCTAAACTCTGTGCCCTTATGAATTTGTAGCCAGAAGCTTCGTGGCCCGAAAGGCTCAGACGTGGAAGTTCGACCTCAGTTTGAAGTCCTCACCTTCGCGACCTGGGTTCAACATGAAGGGCGCACGGGTTTGGGTTTAGGGGTTTAGGGGTTTAGGGGTTGAGGGGTTAAGGGTTTAGGGTTTAGGGGTTTAGTCTAAGCCCATTATAGGTGG